GCTTTGCCATAATACTGGGGGGCTCTCGCACTGCTCATCCTGTTCCTCTTTGCACAAAGGAGCAGACACCAGTCTCTAAGGACCTTATATGGCCTGTCCAGCTCTCCTAGAGTAACTGTCTGTCCCCTGAAATCTCTTCTATGACAGCAAACCTTATGCTAATGGCACGCAGTGATGTGCCATTCAAGAATTGAACTACCCGTAGAACCTCTAGGATCCAGGTATCACCTCATCCTGGCAGTTGTTACCAGTGACCCTAGACAAATGCAAAAGTAGTGAAAAAACACAGTCAGAGGGAAAATGTCAGTGGCTTCCACCTGTAAAACCATTCCTGTTTGGGAAACTGTTTCATTGTTGCCCCTCTACTGCACCCAAAGCAGCTGAAAGTGATTCACAACTCCCTCCGCCATTTAACTGACCAGATCAATATCACAGAAGTTTAACTGATTTTCTACACTCTGATTTAAACGTGTTCCTTTATTTATTTTGAGCACAGAATTTGTTTAAAACACGATTTTGGATTTTTTAGCCTTTATTTAGATAGAATAGTGAAGAGAAGACAGGAATGCTAGGAGGTCTTGGTGAGACACATGGTAAATGGACCCAGGCATCTTCAATAGCCTTAAAGAACATAGCTAAGCTGCTCAAGCATGTCAGCTATACTGGTGCCCAGATTATACTATTTTATTGTCATCTTGTTATTATTTATGTGTTATCAGGTGATCCAGGGAGACCTGGGAACCCAGGCAAACCGGGTGAGAAAGGTCGTGAGGGTATTATTGGCAAGGCCGGACCTCGGGGACTGAAAGGACAACGTGGAAAACCCGGAACATCTGGAACCTGGGGACAAAAAGGAGACGTGGGTGACATGGGCGAGGAAGGAGCTCCAGGTGGTTGTAACTGTGGCAAGCAAGCACGATCAGCTTTCTCTGTGGCTGTGACAAAGAGCTATCCTAAAGAGCGCACGCCCATCCGCTTCACCCGGATCCTGCTGAATGAAGGGAATCACTACAATGCCTCCAGCGGGAAGTTTGTCTGCGTTATCCCAGGAGTTTATTACTTTACCTATGACATCACACTGGCCAACAAGCATCTCGCCATTGGGTTAGTTCACAATGGGCAGTACAAGATCAAAACATTTGATGCAAACACTGGGAACTATGACGTGGCATCTGGTTCTACTGTTCTCCACCTGAAGGAGTCAGACCAGGTCTGGCTGCAGATCTTCTACTCGGAGCAGAACGGACTCTTTTTTGATCCTTTTTGGACAGACAGCACCTTTACGGGCTTCCTAATCTACCCTGACCAGGAATTTCTCAATGAAGCAGATAGAAAAGCAAATGCTCAGGATGAAAATGAATGAACTGTAATGAAGATTTATATCTAATTAAACTTCACGAGTTTGGGCTTTGTGGAATTTCAGTTGTTTAAGACATCCGTCACCAGGAGGCGCACTAGGAAAGAAAGAAAATCAACTGGAGGAATCACACAATAAAGCCTTAATAGTGAACAAAAAACATTTTACCTGAAATATTATGCCCTGTTCTCATAAAATATTTAAATTTATGTAACCCAAAATAATTTAATTCTGTTTCTTTTTTTTAAACTCCTTGATAGGAGATGGCACAGTGCCTTCTTCTTTTTCCCCCTTTTTTCCTTTATTAACCATTATAAAACACAATTTGAAATAAAATCTAAATTATATTGTAAGATAAATTATTTTACAGTGTTTGTGTTTTTGAGTCAAAACTGGTTAGCACTGTCCTGGTGCCTGTGTGGAATTTTCATGTTCTCTCCAGGTTCCTCCCACAGTCCAAAGACATGCAATTAGGTGGGCCAGGTTAATTGGTGACTCTAAATTGCCGGTAGAATATAAGTGTGAATGGTTATCTCTCTCTTTGTGTTGGCCCTGGCGACTTGTTCAGGGTGTACCCTGCCTGTCACCTGGGATAGGCTCTAGCCCACCCCTGCAACCCTGAATTGGATAAGAGGAGGAGAATAGGTGGAACAGTTTTTGAGTATTTGTGTATGGTTCATTAACATGGCGTGTATTTTTGTGTTCAAGTTCATAATTACTTTCATGACACATAGAAGTGTATTATATAAACGAACATCTTTTAAATAAAACTAATAAGCATTTTAGAAATCAAATAACTCATTTTAGAGTTTTATTAATTTAATTAAATGTAATTTCTACCGATTGCGCCACTGGAGTTTTGCACATACTATCAATTTAAATGGCATTTTACTTGAACACTTGTATTAACTCGTATTGCATCACTTTTTTATGCCCAAAAAATTATTTGAACAAACTGAAAATTTATTCAACTCAAAAAGTTTTTCTTCCAGCGAGACATGAAATTAATAAATGATTGTAAACAGAAATGATGCACTAGGATAAAATAATATGCATGTCATGCCAATCACATGTGTATCAAATTATATAAATATTAACCTGCAGTTTTGTATTTGTAGAAAATTTTAAAATTATTTCTCACTTAAAGTCATCATGCTCTAGTCTAAGGTTGCTTCACGGGCTGAATTGCTTAATAGAATTCAGGTTAACACTTTATAATACAATCTGTGATTAAGGGCATAATCCTCCTGCAATTAAATCAAATTTTAAGGTATTTTGTTTTAAATTATAACGTAATTTTCCTAAAAATACTTAAAGGTAGATACGTTAGAATAATATGTATGTATTTATATGTATTTGTATTTGCATGTATACAATTTTATGTAGCACATGAGTAATTTAAGTAATACACAACTTCATGTAACTTACAGGAGAGAAGAAATAGTGACATTTTAAGTCATTTTAAGTAGTGTCAAACTTCCGGGTATTTTACAGGAAAGGAGACAAAAATGATACTGTGAGTAAATTTAAATACTGTATAAACAATTTTAAGTACTACATACTTTCCTGGTAATTGTGCCATCTTAAATTATAAGTACATTATGCTTTTTGGGTTGTTGGCCGTATTATAGAGTGAATTTAAGTTACGCATTATTTAAAATTACTTGTACATGAATTAAATGTATTTACAGTATAAATACTTCTTTGTTTTCTGTAAAAAAAAAAACCCAAAACACTTTTCCCCCCTTACCTCACTTCAAGTATTTGTAGGTAAATATAATTACATTGTAATTTCAAATAAACTACATTCCACTGCAATTCCATTTAATTAGTCGTGGGCCATACTGTAAAGTGTTACCAAATACAGGACAATGACAGACTACATTAAGGAGACAAAGGATTGGAGAAACACAAGAACATGCTGCACCTCCTGTGTTTCTTTACTTTTAGAGGCCGTTCATCACCATTTCATGGACCACAGGGGGATTTTTAACTGGGGTTTTATACTCAAATGTCTCAAAGTCATCTGTGGGTATTCACATCACACATGGAAGCAATTAATCACACTTGATCTAATGTGTTACTTAACTAAAGTATCCATAATCCATGATACTTCAGGGAAGAAATGCAATTCTGCATTTAAACTTGTGCTTATGTAAAAGTACAAATGCATCAATGGCAAACCTGAAAACTTCATTTTAGAATAGTTAGTCAGTGTAGAGCTAATTTAAACAATTTACCCAGTCTTAATGTAAAGTGTTAATAGCTATTTGGAGTCAAATCTTTTGCAGTATGCTTCATGCAGGCACAGCTTCTGCTACAAACACTCAGATAACAGCTTTCTTAAGTAAACAGGAAGAAAGCAGCATTTTATTTATATACAGGCTCAGCTCCCCTGTTCTTATGTTTGCAAAATCTTCCTTTTTGTATGGAACCTGGAAGCATGCTGTATATTCTCCTACTTAGATGGCTCTAGCTAAAAATAACCGAATCACTTCTAAAAAGTGTTATACTTGAATCAAACACTTTCCTTCAACAAAAATGTGAAAATATGATGCTTTACTCTCATCTCTGTCAGTGGCTCAGTAGGTAACCCAATGCACCACTATAGAGCCTCATGTTCCCATGCAGAGATGCTGAGTTTAAATCCCCCAAAGTCAGCCAAGAGTGATGTTTAGCCAAATGGACTCACACAGGTTTTCACTTAACGAATGCCAGTGTGATATCTAACTTCCTTTAAATGGCTGTTGTCATTATCAAACAAATATACTGAAGCAATTCCTCAGCTAGACCATATCCTATTCCTTCCCCTAAACTAATTCAAACAGATACCATACTGAAAGCACAGTATCTGCTTCACTGCTTTTGTGGTTCCCCGGGTTCCAGCATTTACTTGGGGATCATTTAGCTCAAAGCATTCAACCAATGTTTTTAAGAAGCACACACAAGCTCTTTATATCTTGCAGTTTACGATAATTGTTAGCATAAATCTTGTGCCAGATAAACAGTTTCTAAAGGCTGTTGAAGCCTGTGTATTGTTGTGTTTTTTTGGTACTGATACAGGGGAAAAGCTTAGAGTCAGGGATACAGTGCTGTGACAATTATTTGCAAATTTCTCTATTTCTTATTGTTTTATATTTGTCATATTTACATGTTTCAGATCATTAAGAAAGAAAGAAAGAAAGAAAGAAAGAAAGAAAGAAAGAAAGAAAGAAAGAAAGAAAGAAAGAAAGAAAGAAAGAAAGAAAGAAAGGGGTCAGATACTTCTTCACTGGACTGAACAGTTAGCTCTCACACTTGATAGCATTAAAATAGACACCTTCAATAACAGCACTTCCAAAATCACTGGAATTCTTGCTCAAAGGGAATACTGTCTGGGATTTCTGTCTTAAAAGATAGGTAAATGTTTACCTATCTTATTATAATATAATATAATATAATATAATATAATATAATATAATATAATATAATATAATATAATATGCATTCGTTAACATTTTGTATATTAAATAAATGAAATGAGATCCTTTGCTGAACTGTAGCCGTTTGTAGTTCTAGCGGTGACCTTTAAAGACTACAATTCCCAGGCTGGGGGAGGAACCTCACGTCTAGCGCACGAGCTCTGTAGACCAACAGTAGCAGCTGGCTGAGCCGAAGAGGCTACTTTGTTAACAGCGAAGCCACCGGAGAGAAAACGGCTCAGTGGTTTCTCTCGGAAAAGTGTGAACAGTTTGGGGGAAACGGGGAACCCGAAGGCCTGTCGGTGGGATTTGACGGTGGCACCTACTCTGTTTTGTGTTATTAACTTTGTTTTTTCGCCGACAACTCAAAGTTGAGCCGTAGCGGAGTTCTGTCGTTCAGGATGTCGGACTGAGACAAAGGGGTCTGGGGGGCATTCCCGACGGAGCGGTGAGTGAAACAGGCGATAACTACCAAGACTAAAAAAAGAAAGAAAAAGTTTTCTTTGTTGCTGATTGCCGGAAAAATAATCTGAGTTTGTGATGAGCTCAGTATTTCTGAGCCTGGTGGGCACAGTTAACTTAAAGCCCGTCTGTTTGTTCGCAGTCTCGTGGTGCAGAATCGCCTTCAGTCATAACTGAAATGTAGGACTGGTTGGTGATTTGCCTTCGCGATGAACAACCACGTTAAAAAATGAGATTTTATGGAAGGCTGCTTTGATGAGACTGACCTACAGCATGGTCGAAGGGGGCATTTAACCGAGCCATTAGGTTTCCGAACACAGAAAATGGCCTATGCGGGGAAATAGACCTGTGCAGCGAGATAAAGGTGTTTAAAAACTTTATCAAAAACGCATTCCTCGAAAGGGTATTTATTTATTTATTTTTTTTACTGTCAACGAGAACAAAACAGCTAGCTTACTAATCCTACATTTTAAATTAAAGAGAACAGTTGTAGAAAGACTTAAATTCAGCTTTACCTTCTTTCCTCTCATGTGGTAAAAATAGTCTCAACTTTCAGTGTGGTGGTTATACTGGCTTGGCCTTGCTTCTTTCTTCAAGTACCTGAACTTTGTCTGATTTTGCTTTCAGCAGGTAAAACTAGGAAAGATGGAGAGGGAGCTGGAATGGTGGAAGGATCAGTTAGCTGCAGATATCCATCAGTCCCTCCGCATTAAGGTGAGTTTGTCTGAACTAAGCTCTGTTTTAACAGGAAGTTTTATTTTGCCGACCTTCTTCTGACTGCTTGCGCTTAGGATAACTTAAATTCACCTTTAAAAACAGTAACCCCCCACCTCTCCTCACAGCACTAGGCTTTTGCAGCTGACATTTTCAAACATTGAGGCCAAAATCAACAGTGTCTGTGAATTAAAAAAATAAAAATAAAAAACTTGCTACACACTGCAGTGCAGTGCTTATCTTTATCACCAGCTCAGAGGAAATCTAGAAAAACGCCAGCAAACATTGACAGTTTTACTTCTGCCTAATCAAATCCGTGAATTAAAGTGATTAACAGTGAGTCAACAAACACTGATGTTAAACTCAACTGCAGCTTTGCCAAAATTTGTTACTCAAATGGATTATAAGTGTTTAGTTTTTTAATTGCACCCTTTGCCTTGTTCTAAAGACCAAGTGATTGCTATTGATTTTCAGAAGAAAATGTTAAAAGTAATTTTTCTTTTTTTTGAGCAGTTGTGGCACGCATTTGAATCAGACCCTGAGCTGTATTGATATTCCACGACAAGATGTAATGTTGCGAGGAAAATATAATTACCCGGTCCTGCTGTCTATTTAAACATAGTCTAAATTAGATTACATGGAGGATTTAAGGCTCATTAATTGAGAACATCTTAATTAACCTCAGAGCGTGATCATATTTCTTCCCCATGTGTCACTTTAATGGAGACATCTGTCACTTTGCTGGCATTTTCATCTTCATAGTGATGGAGCTCAGGTTTAGAAGATCAGGTATCTTAAATGTGCCACAAATCGCAAGAATGTGTGTAGAATGAGGAGTGTAGCGTATCGGGTGGTTGTGAGCTGCATGTAATGAGTCACACGCTTACATAGCATTTGAATCAGTTTACGCATGCTGGACAGTGTCTGACTCAGAGTGAACTGTCAATTACACTGAAAGTCTTTATGCAGAGCTGGAAACAAAACAACACGCCCACTCTTTTCTCATCTGTGACAATGAGAGACATGCTGTCCGCCTCAAGTGTTTCTAGTCAAATCTAAAGCAACTGTTTTCACCACAGTATGATATGCAGCACTAAATGATCTAAAGTTACAATACAGGAATACCTGGTGGATGCTGTGCAAACCTGCCTGTGTTGCACTGCAGTGAGTTAGACAGTTTCAAATCAGGTTTTTCTCAGTTTCTAAATTATTTTGATCAGGCGACTGATTTGTAGACAGTTGTAGTGTTGTTGTTTTTTTTATACATTTTTTTTCTTGCCATGGACTTTAATCTTTTACCCAAATTCACAGGAGTCTTGGTCATCTACACAAGATCGCAGATACCGCTAGATGTCTTCATGTAGAAACACACTACAGTTGTTTCAAAGAAAATTGGGAATTTCTTTACAATCATTCCTTTACCTAGGCCATATTGGGAATAAAAGATATATAGGAAAGCCAATAGATCATAGAAAATCACATTGGGTTTTAATTAAGTAGTAAAAATAGATAAGAATCAAGTTAAGTAATAATAGTACAATAAAGAGGATTAAACCAGATAATGCAAATTGAAGCATGGGTACACTGTTATCCCCGATTACATGTAATAAATGACCATAAGACTTTCATTTGAATTTGAACAGACCTCAAGATTTCAGATTTTGTTCTCAAGACTAAACTGTTTTTATGCTGAAATGACTGTTTAACTTATGGATCATTAACCATGCCAGATGAAAAAAGAATGCTGCTTTTAGATGACTTGAAAGCTGACATTTCTCTAAACAGAACAACTCATTTAAAATCTAGAGTAAATCTTTTTTTCCCCCCAAAAATAAAATAATTGTCAGTTGCTTGGTTGTTTTATGTCTTCAGAAACCGTAAATTTCCATAAACCTGTAATGGAAAAGATTGGTGAGTCAGTGTCAGAACCGTGCGTAAAAAGGCCCTCACGCGGTCTTCACATTTCCTGCATGGCGCCTTTACCCCCACAGTCTCATCCAGCCTTAATGATGTGTGCTGCAGTGATAATGCCCTGATGTGGGAGATAGCGGTGGTGTGTAGCATGTGGCAAATTATCAGACATGCAAATCAGTAGGCAGCTGTGGAATCCTTAATTATGGTGCGGATCCCCCACAAAGGCTCCTCTGCACTCCTCGCAGACCCCCCCAGAGCCCTGCAGACTCCAGCAGCCCTCCCTTCTTTTCACATCCACCCCCATTCTCCTGCTGCCCTTGTACCCCGAGACAGACAGATGGAGCAGAGTTTGGGGAGGACTGGCTGATATGATAGGTCATGGCACCGGGGGTTGGTGTTGCTATGTTGATTTTGTAAGGGGTACTGCTTATTTTTGAATTCCACTGAAGTGCCAGTCTGAAGACTTTTTTTTAAAAGTTTTGCATTCACAGCAAATAATTTTTGTGCAGCGTGTCGGCTATAATAGTACACATTTCCATCAGTGCATTTCAGAGAAACGGTTGATACTAGTATTGGCTGATCTGCCAGGTTTTTTAGCTGCTGCCCTCCAATTTGTGATTTATTTTAATGGAAGAATGATAAACAAGAATGGAAGGCAGTGGTTTGTGGATATATAACAACTGATTACTAGTTAGATTGGACGATTTGATCCAACCTAAGCTATGGGATATTCTTGAACAGCAGTCCCGACATAATGTGGATATTTTTCCTTTATTTTAAGGACTCCTTGCTGGCGCTAAAGAGATGAATCTGCCAATCCTTGATCTCTTATCAAATCCCAAAGCCCTTGTTTTTATGCATCCAAAAAACATAAAAACATATTCGAGTATTAGTATCATGAATTCAGGGGGAATAGCTGTTCTGTGTACATGCAGTTCCAAATGTCTCCTATTTCTTACTCTGAGGCAGGTTTTGAAACTAGAAACTTGGTCTCTCTCCAGTTTTCTGTAGCTGATTGGGAAGATACCCAATGCTGATTCAATGCAAATGCCCCCAAGTGTCTTCATTCCACTTTGAAACACATGCAGCTAATTGAACATGAATAGGAGATGGGCTAGGGGTGAAACCTAATCCTATCTACCACTCAACCTCCACTGGAGGCCCTCCCCTTCCCTCCCCATACCACATACACAACTCATCACACACAAACCCTCACCCCTTTGTTCAGAGACCCCTGCAATGACCCAGATTAGCTCCAGTTTTCTGCTGCAATGGTGAATTAAATGAAATGGATCCAGGGTTGAATCATAATCAAGAGTTTTTGGTATAAAAATAATTTCCTTTCTTAATATGAGCATCATACCCACCACTCTCCTGACAGTAGTGAATCTAGACAGCATGGCTCACCATTATTATGCATATTCTTTTCGACCCCCATGCTTTTTCATCACTGCTTCCTGCCCACCCTGTTCCTCTTACACCCCGTCATTAACATCCCTGTTATCTTTTCTCTCTTCAGGAGCTGAAGTTGCCGGCCTACCGGGCCCATTCTCCCCAGATTGGCATGCGACGGTACTTTGCAGACTTGTTGGCCATCCTGAGTAATCGCTACCAGCTATGTCCTACAGCACGTCACTTGGCAGTCTACCTGCTGGACTTGTTCATGGACCACTATGACGTGGCTGTCAGGCAGCTCTACGTCATTGCTCTGTCCTGTCTGCTGCTAGCTAGTAAGTTCAGAATCAGCTTTTTATTTTCTCAAAACTTGCCCCATGCTTTTTCTATATTCCAGGCATTTAAAAAATATTTTCCTTGATAAAATCCTTACATGTAATCTCAAAATAATCCCATCATGCTTTTAAATGGATTAGAGGTAATTTCACACCTCTTGATAGGTGAACGTGTTATCACACAGGTAATAAATGGGCTGCTGTTAGTGTTGGAGAACAAGGTTTCTCTGTCTTTCACAAGTTAGCCCCACTCTTCAAGTTGATTGGGATTAGTTTATTTATGAAGCCATGGCTGTTTGGATCTGTGTTTTTTGATACTCTGTGTTTTAGAGCAGTAAATGTAAAAAAACAAAACAACGCTTGGTCGTGGTGCTTTTTCGCTTGTGTCTTCTAACATAAAAAGGACCATATGAACATTTTTTTTTTTCTTTTTTGTAGATGAAAGTTTTAATTGATGTTCTAAATGGTTTTCTTAAGCTTTAATCTGATAGGAACCTTTACTCAGGTTAAGGTTTACGTTTTCATCTTAAAAAGTGTTATATTTCATCTTGTAACTACACAATGGTTGCACTGTGAGTCTGTTGTGCTAAAAGAAATGCTTTGACTGTGGTTTGTGCACAGATGGCACAAGGTGAAACACTTCCTGCAACTAAGCTATTTTGAGTTACACTCTAGAGATGCGTTTTCCCCTTCCAGCTCCACCTTCTAACTGAACCGTATTGACAGTTTACTGTTCACTGTGTTGGTTTAAGATAAAACCAGGTTTCCAATGTGACAGCATGATGGTTCCATTGTTTTTGAGAAACCGTTGGGATTATGATCATGCCTGCAGAACTTTATCTCTGTCTTTGATGCTAGTTGTAATATGATCTGAGTGGCTACTTCAGTTTGAGCCTGAGTTGAACTAGTGTTGCACTTTCTGAGGTTAAAATGTCCTCTAATTAAAGCTGCAAAACATTTTGTTTAAAAAAACAAAAACAAAACTCATTTAATTGATTGCAAATTCCAGCTTACCCAACATCCCAATACAAATCTAATTTACTACCATTAGTTGTTCACTCTCTAATGGCAATTTTCTGCTGTGATCAGCAGAGAAAATATGGAGATATTGTGTGCTTTCTTATTGTCAGCAAACACTTACAAAGACCAAATTCAGCTGTGATTTGAGCCTGCTAATAGAGTGATGTTTTCCATCACAGAATTCCTTTGTTCTTCCAAACTTATTAAAAATGCATCAGTGTGCACAGATGTGAATGCTTTGGTTGTAGTTGCATCGATTTTCAAGTTGTCTTTGTTTCTGCAAAAGTGAGTGAAGTAGTGGTTTAGTTTGATTAGTAACAATTTGCTTTTCTGCTCTGAAGTCAAAAAATGTTTCTTTTTGTTTTGTGTAAAGCAGGTGTGTTAATCAACATCCCCCCCTCCCCCCCTAGTGCAGATTCAGGGTGTAGGTTGTGTGGTAGTTATTAGTGTCTGTATGCCTGTCTGGTGATTAACAGACTGTGAGGATTTCTGTACGTTAATGTAGCCCTTGGCATCATGGGTAATTAGACTAATGATGCTGTCAGAGTAAGAGTCTGGAACGGGGCCCGTTCACTTGGGAGGGCTCAGTTTGTGTGTGTGTGTGTGTGTGTGTGTGTATGGAGTCGCATACATGCCGCTTTTGCAATCAGGAGTCTCTGTGGTGTGATAAATTTGAATATAAGACTTGAAAGATTTTTTTTTTTTTTTTTTTTTTAAATCAATCTCCTGAGAATCCAAGAATAGCTTTGTGAGTTTGTTAATTTAGTGATATAATTATTATCAACTCAACCTGGAAAGAGGTTATCCTTCTAATCACTAATAATTAATCAATTTAAAAAAAAATCTTTTGATTGTGGCTTTCAGATACTAAGGCTTTCTCTTGCTCTCCTCTCTGTTCTCACTCCTCCAGGACTTGAGGGAGTCTCTGTCATGATTGATGAGGGCTTGAAAGTGCATTTCAATCAAAGTTGTCTCGGGTTTTCATCTGTGCCTTGGAATCTGGCCTAGTTATTGAACAACCTCCCCAGGTCTCACTGACTGGCTTTGACAGGCACATACATTGTCTTTCTTTAAACTCTCCTGGCTTTCAAACTCTGTTAATTAATCAGTACCTCTTTCATACTTCTCAGCAGTCACTGCCTAATCCTGTTTCTCCATTATATCTGTGTTTTTTGTGGGAACTTGTGAGTGCTTGTGTTTGCGCAAGGATGAGCTCCTCTTCATTTGTGGTAGTAAGGTTATGGTCAGTTTTTTATAAACAGAGTAAGTGGAAATGAGGTTTATTGACTGCTGATTTTTATTTTGAGAAGAAAGCCAATATATTCCCTCAGAATTAAGTATCTGTTGTGTTGAAGTCCTGCAGTGATACATCAGTCTTGTTGACTTTTTTTTTCTGATCAGGACAGGTGAACTCTCCTGAGTGAATCTCAGTTACAAGCTCTCGCTGAAGATGGTTTTCATATATTTTGTTCCATGAGCCCTACAACTCTTATTGCCTGTTCTTATTGTCCTTATCTTCAACGTTATGCTGCTCTGTTGTTTGTTAATTGCCCCTTGGGGATAAATAAAGTCTTCTGATTCTGATTCTACAAGAAAAGAGCATCCTGTGAAATGGCACAACTAAAGAGACTACAGCGTGCACTTACATAGGCGTCGGAGCCCGGGGGTGGGGAGGAACTGTGTGCCGAGGGGCACCTGCCATATGCTCTCCGAGTCAGGCCTCAAACAAAAGCCAGTCAATGCAAGCAGGCCAGCCAGCCAGCCAGACCCTTCCCATAGAGGGGGAGGGGAGCACACTCCAAGGGGTGGAGGTTGTTGTGTGTGCAGGCTGTTGTGTGTGTGTGCAGGCGTGTGTTTGTGTGTGTGTATGGTAGAGATTTGCCGTAAGCTAATGTCACTAAAAGAGGACATGGTTGCTGTGGCAACCTTGTGATAAACCCACTGAGTCCTTTCTTGTGGTCACCTCATTAAAATCCACATTCATGTCTGATCCATTTCAGAGTTTGCCATTAAAAGGCTGCCACTACTACCACCAACACACAGACATAAAACTGGCTTGTTCTGGTAATGTCCCTTTACCTTCTGCTGCTGCTGGCTCTGTTTCCTCCTCGTTCTCTCACCTTGTCAGGGTCGGGCAGAGAGAGCCAGTCCTGGGACAGGATAGCCAGTAAAAAGCACTCCCACATCCCTGAGGGGGTTGGGAAATGAGTGGAGCGGTACTTCAAAGGCAGGTTGACTGCTGATGTTAAACAGGGTAGAAAGGGAGGGAGAGGTGGTAGCCTGCAAAATGGGACATGTTAGAACTGAACCACTCGGTGGGGTACCCTAAAATGTTGATTAATAGGGGACCCACTTCCCTCTCTGTCCAAATCTGTGATTCTGATTGAATGGTTCCACAAGTTTTCTTGAAAATGTTATTAAAAATAAAACAGATGTGGCAGTTCATCTTTTTGTTTGAGATCTTTTTTTGTAATTATAACCCCCAACTGCAGGCAAATGTCAATATTTAGTCGAATTTTGTGTTTTGTTGTGCAATGCCTGAAACTCCCCACGAACTACCTGTGTCACCACACATACTGCATGGCATTTCACACAGTCAGTCTCTGAATCCCCCCACACAATCTCACACACGCACACACACGCACACACGCGCACACACACGCACACACACGCACACACACGCACACGCAGAACTGAGTCTTCTCAGTTTCTCCCCGCTCACCCAACCATTCAGCATCAGGGGTCAGGGGTCGGCCCAGGCCTACATTGTAAGAGCTGGCAGAACCTGGGGTGTCAACACAGAGGTTCTGTGATGGAGCTGTGACCAATTTTTCCCTGCCAATGAAAGATGAACCGACAAATACATTGTGTTTAAAGAACAGGGGAAATTCCTTCATGGCTGTCAAGTTGAAGAGAGAAAGCAGGGTGAGCTTTATTTATGAGAGATTATCAGCATTAATTGATAGCAGTAAGAAATCCTGTTTGGGAAGTCATTCACATGTACCACAGGGCTGTTGGTCGATTTATCTGAAGCTTTGTTGTGTATAAAGTCTTTTTTTTTTGTCATTCAGAGCTTCTGGTTTAATGTGTCCTTTTTCAAATATATATTTAGATTTTCACCAAGAAATCTGGAAAGATGCTTTAATAGTTTTAGATGTGGTGGAGAACTACCAGGTGAAGAAAGTTTGAAGGCTGATCAAAAACTGGTAGAGTTGCACATTGTCAGCAAAATGGAGTGAAACAGAAAATGAGTCCTGTGTATGTGAGAGTACAACTATCAGGTTTTCTAACAGCCCCTATCACTCTAAACTGCTTTCCATCTCCACCCCCAACTCCCATTTTTCAAATGACACACCTGGGAGGAAGCCTTGCATCCTGGTCTTACCTCTTCCTAACCTTAACCTGTGACACACATCATTAAGTCTGAATATTTTTAACAACTTGCTCCACATTTTCTCATCATTATTATCACCAGTGTGTTCTGTGAGAAATAATAGATGTCTTGTAGTTGCTCTGTATGGAGAAGTACATGGTTTAGATGAAAAAGAAAGCTTTTAAATAAAACCCTTGGAGTGTCACTCTATACTCCTTACTGACTTGAGATACAATCATGTAGCCGTCTGCATTCCAGGTGAGCTGAACTCACAGGAGAGGAATGCATCATCTCTTTCATACTGGCAACAGTGAAATGGCACACTGTTATCCCAATAAAATAGCAGTGAGTAGATATGATACAATTTACAAAGCCAAACACTGTGATTAGTACTTGTATGATTGTATGTATCATTAGTACTGGTTTGTGTACACTTGTGGATTTAACAGTGTCGTGCTATATACGGTTTTGCACATTTGATTTTGTTTTTAATTTTTTAAAACAGACGGAAATGACTCTATAATGCTATTTAGCTCTGGATATTTATTATTTAACAACAATTTTATATAACAACAGTTTAGGTAAGTAATCAACGATTTAAATAGTATTTTAAGAAAAATGTCTCAAATTAGTCTAAAGTAATTTTCTTACGGTAGTTCATCTTGTCCATTGGCTCCTGGAAAGCAGTGTTAGATTTTAGGTGCCGTTGTAGGAGGAACAAAAACTATGATCCTAGAAATCTTAGAAATGGTATTCTGATGTCACAGAGTTTCTGCTGGAAACATGAAGTTTGTTTAATGTCCGATCCACCACCGCTCCACCTGTTAATCTCAAAAATAGTTCCTGGCCGCACTGTATGTGTGAAAATGACTTAAGCCTTCTGTTAGAGGAAATTATATACGTTTTCATTTTTGATTGCTGTTTGGATAAAAATGTGAAATTTGGGAACATCATCTTTCAATTTTGAGGAACCCATTGGCTATTTTTCAATATTTAACTTAATTAAAGCTAGTTAATCAGAAAAAGCTATGAATAGATGGCTGGATAATGTATAGTTACATTTTTAGTGCTCTTTTAGATAACATTTCCAAATGGTAACTGGTCTGATTTATTGTACTTCAGAATTAATAGAACCAGGAGCTACTTGTACTCTTAGTTGTAGGCTTTCTGATTTCATCTTTCTGTTATGGTGCAGGCTTTCTGTCATTCAGAACAAGATTCCTCAGACCCACCCATGTCTGTGATGGAGAGAGAGCTATGTTACACTGTATTCGCCACACATGAAAAAGACTTGCTGCTGCAAGTGTGTGTCAAATCTAGTGAAGTATAATTAAACTTTTTTGTTCAAGAGGAGGACTCTCATCGCCACTAAGCACAGTATCACAGTATGTGTTTAGCTTAGACAGTCGAACCCTTCCTCACACAGCCTCTTGAAACATGCTCTCGTGTACTGGGAATGGCAGCAATGCATCATACAAGAATGTCTTAATCTTATTGCAAATCAGAAACCGAGTTGGTGAGAGACACTCTTATTATGTATACGTTATGGCTGTTAAGGGTTATTCTCTAGTGAGCTGAGGCACGCAGAGAAGCATGAAATGTGCTAATCTTGATCATGCCTATCTGTTACTGTGATTGCATGTAGTTCAGACTTGTTGAATATGAAGTGTAAATGACGAGGATGGCCTTTCAGACACTAAGTTGCTATATTCAGATGCTGTCAGACTGCAGGAGAGGAGTGGGTGGGTGAATAAAGTGAATTTATTCACCATCCTGTGTTTTTTGATGATGTGTTCACTTATTGAAATGACACACTGTAATCTCCATGATATTAACTTAAACCTGTTTCTGGTTTAATCTCTTGTTATGGTTTGGCAGGTTTGACGGAAGATTATTTTTGGACACTCATTGTTGTAAACCAAAGGAATAAGCACAGAATACAATAAGGAGCTTGACTTGTGTGTCTTAGGATCAAAGAGACTGGGGTTATGTGGGGATAGGGGGGCAGTGATGCCTTTTTATGGCAGTGTCTGTGTGGACATAGCAGTCTAGGAGCAGACGGGGACCTGATCCAAAGGATATGAGGGTGAGAGAATGGGACAAGTGTGGACTGGGCCATGGTCTGAATTTGAGTGGTTGTAAAACAGCGCTGTTTCTTTGTGCTTCCTGTTCTGCCTGATAGACACGATTACTGCTTCTCTACTAATTACTGTCTCACCCCCACATCCCTGCATGTTGGCCTGCCAGTCCCATTCCCTCTCTCTTCCTTCCCCTGCTTAATGGTGGTTTGCAGCATAGGTGATAAAATTTATACTTGTAGGAAGACACTCAAGACGCTCTACTAGACGTGGGCTCAAATATGAAAATGAGGTCTGTTGAAGACAATGACAGTATCAGGTAATTGTTGCTGTTTGCTTATAACTGTAGCTGGGAAAGGTTAGTAAAGCTCCTGTTTTCAGTGTTTCATTGGCCTTGTCTTAGATTAGAAGATTTACTCCTGCAGAGAGTTTTCGTTGTTTCCGGATTAATGCATATTTTCGCCAAGCTGAAGTGTAACATTTTAATCCTACCAGCGTGATATAATGGGGTAACATTTTGTCTCCAGGCATGAAAAATATGTATTTTTGATTATTGAAATGTCTGCAAATAAATTTTTATTCTCAATGTTATATTATTTAAATTCTATCCTTATAAAGAAAGCAAGAGAGAGCAAATCGGACATTTAGACATAAATATGCTTTAATAAACGTGGCAAGTCTGGTGGTCCTCAAAATTAAAAAATTAATTCATTAATCAGATTAATATTGGCTTATTGTTAAGCTATTGGGTTAACTGTATTTTTTTTGCAAATGATCCCTGGCAACAGGATCACATGCAGTCCTGTTGCCAGGGCCAAAGAAATATTAAATATAGTTTAGAAACCTTTTTTCTGTTTGTCTATAATACAGTACTGATTTATTTATGTGTTTATGTATGTATTTATTTATTGAATGCTTCTCTTAGGTGCTTCTCAATTAGACTAAACTGTATTAACTTGATCTGTTCCTATTTATCAGGTCTAAGCAGTATGAAAACATTTGTTGCAGAGTATTATGTTGTAATCATTGACAATATTTTTGGTGTAATTTATCTGCTAGGATCCACTTTTGTATGTCCACAGGAGGACTTATACTTGTTTAAAAACTGCTTATAGCTACATTATGTTTCATCCCGTAACCCATTTGTTTAAATTTAAAGTGTCTTATTGCACAGCTAAATGTCCAAGGCTTCTTCCCAATAATTAGAAGCAGTATTAAAAAAAAAAATTGAGCTCTGATTTTGAGAGCCAGCAACTTCCATTGAAAGTTAGTAGTAAAAGCTGCATGCAGTTTGTTGCAGGCTTTAAAGGGAGTCTGTATCAGTGTAACCCGACCCCTCCTCGCCCTCATTCTTAATGTTTGAGAAGAGGCCTGTTGGACCCTTGAATTAAAGGCAGAAACACCCCACTTCATTGGTCACATGGACCCCAGAGGCCTCAGGGCTGTTGCTATGGAAAGCAGGAAGTCTTAGGACAGGGAGGGGGGCTCACCAAAAATGACGATTCTCTAATGTCTGCGAGTGAGACAAAGGGACAAAAGTACTGAGGATTGAGCTGACCGTGTTTTTCATAGAAAGTCCTTTTATGGTCCACTGTAAGCCTCCCTGGGCTTATTAGTATAATCACTTTGCTCTATGGCCAGATGTTCGGGAGTAGCCAACTTAATTGCAAATTCTTAGTAGGTAATAAACTGCTTTAGAGCTAACCGTAAACCTGCTGCACATGATGGTAATCTTGTTAAAAAGAGGGAAAACAATTAATAAACATTCTTTAAACACCCTTTTCCAGATGCAACTCATTCTGGTTCACATTTTCCATTCTTACTTACTTTTCTGTCAGTACATGAGATGATGTTAGTTATGAATGGCATTTTTTGTCACCACAAGAGGTGCAGCTAATGACCGTTTAAATGAGTTGGTTCATATTTTATAAATCCATTAAAGCCTACAAAATTTTTTATATATTTTTAAAGATGTTAAAGAATTTTTTGTTCAAAATCTTTACCCATAACACAAAAAACCATAGCTAAAAGTCTTCTGCATTAGTGTAATGCTTTATATTTTTAAGAACTTGCAAGCTAAGTGCAATATAGAGGTTGCCTCCTTGAATACATATGTAAACTGTTACATAAGTTAAATAAATATTGGATGTTTCTATTTTTTATTTTTTTGTCTTTATGGCTCTAAAGTCTGAAGGTGTAACTAAAGTTTTATAGCCACCCTCACTACATCTTTGCTTCTTTGCAGGCAAATTTGAGGAGAAGGAGGACCGGGTCCCCAAACTGGAGCAGCTGAACTCTCTGGGGTTCATGTGCAGCCTAAACATAGTTCTCAACAAGAAGGATCTGATCAAAATGGAGCTCCTGCTGCTCGAGACCTTTGGGTGGAATCTGTGTATGCCCACACCCGCCCACTTTATTGACTACTACCTCCATGCCTCAGTGCAGGAGGGCGACCTCTACAATGGCTGGCCACTGTCCTCCCTCTCCAAGACCAAGGCTTTCATGGAGAAATACACACACTACTTCCTGGAGGTTTCATTGCAGGGTGAGTTTAAAAGACGGTAGTGAACTGTACTTTACTTAATGTGTCACACAGGTGTTGAACATAGAGTGATGATCTTTTTTCTCTTTTACAGACCATGCCTTTCTGAGTTTCAGGCCATCCCAGGTTGCTGCTGCGTGTGTGGCAGCATCTCGTATTTGCCTTCAGATTTCTCCAAGTTGGACAACTGCTTTGCATTTACTAACAGGGTACACATGGGACCACCTCACCCAGTGCATTGAGCTGATGTTGCTGTAAGGGACGCACAAACCCACACATTTCTTGATTTATTTCATTTTTGCAGGAGGTGTGATAACAACTGAAATATGTGCCTTTCCCTTTTAGTGCTCATGACAACGATGTGAAGGAGGCCAATAAAGCCAAATCCACACCTCCTCACCGGCCCTCCTCTCTGCAGTCCCAGCCGCAGACCTCTCACCTCTCTCCAGTGTCAGCCATCCAGAGACCAGCCTCCTCCACCTCCTCCACACCACAGCTGCTCTTTCAGCCAGATAGCTTTCCACACATTTCTCAGCATTCCCCATCCCTGTCCCAGCTGCAGGCACTAGCTGAGTCCCAGGCTTTGGGGTCTGTGGTAAACATGTCTCAGGACTTTCTTCAGAGTCACAGGATGGGTCTTCTAGCTGGGGCTGCCTCCATCACTCCTGCGGGGGTGTTCCCCTCCTACCCAAGCCTAACCTCAGGTCTCCAACCGGGGACTCGTGGGCTGCCGCTCCAGGGCCCCATTTCTGTGCAGATGGCCCTTGCTGGAGAGCCGCGACATTGTCTGAGCATGGCTTACAGTGGGAGCTACCTAGGGGCTCATCACACGTTCACAGCCGGCTGCTTTGACAGGTGACGCCAGGAGACGGAGAGGGAACGCAAACCCCCATGGGAGTCCGCTGATAGAGACCTCCAAATCCCCAAACACACACTTACAGACCTCCTCTCTCTCTCCGTCGCCACCACAACAGCTTCAGCTTGCCCAGCTCCCTCGTCCCTCTCACAGAGACGCCTCAGACGCAAACAGAGGTCCAAAAGCAAGAAAGATCCAGTGGAAGTCATCACACTGACATGACAAATGCTCCTCTGCCTCATGAAATACTGAGGCGCTGTGAAATTCTTATCCCTATATTCCGAGCTGACTTTATAAATCTGTGTTATTTTGAGACTGTCATCACTGTGAATGAGATGAAAGCAGCCGTGTGATCCAACACCCACCTCATTCAGTGCCTGTTCTCAGTTGTGATAGCTGAGCCAATTTTAGAAGTGCACAGAAGACAAAGTATGTGATAAGCATATCTTGCTGCTTGACGTTTTATTTTTTGTTTTTTTAATTACTAATTCCAAAAATTGAACATGTTATAGAGAAAATTTGGCTGATATTGTTTTTTGTTTTTTAAGCCACCATTTCAGAGAGATGAAAGAAATGGAGGCTTGTTGCTGACGTGGCAGAGCACAAAGAGACTGTATGTCAGTGGAAGTTTTACTTGTGTCTCCTGCACGTCATTGAACATTGATCTAATGAGCTGAAGGGCTTCTCTGAGAATTCCTCACAACATAAGACCTCAGAGGGGACGAAGAAGTCATTGTTCTGTGCGCAGCAGGTGAAGTCCGCAGCTCGATCAGGCGTGCGCTATTTTTATCCCCGCCTCCCTCGTCATCTTTTTTCTCTCTCACCTCCAAAGTCGAGCCTTGTGGCTGAGCCCTCACGCATGCAGGTGAACATGTGGCTCTGTTAAAGCTGCAGGCTTTGTCATGCTAAAGTTTTAATTTCTCCAGCACCACTCAAAGAATTAAAAGACAAACTGATGTGACTGGACCAGCATGGTGAAGGAGACACAACGCTGGTGTGTGTTGTACATATGAATTGCTGCTGCCTTCTGAACTGTTGGTTCTGTGTCTGTGTTAATGACTCAAATGTTTACATGAACCACTAAGTATCAGGGACTTTAACAAGATTATACTTGAATATGATGCCATTGAAACATGTCATAGCTTTTATTTATGACTTTTTTTTTAATATTCATTTTTGATATTATGTAGTTTTTTGCCAGCTTAGAAATCCACCGTTGGTCAGTTAGTTTTTTTTTTTTTTGTAACTGTTCATAGAAACAGGCTCAGGTTTTAAGGCTGAAGCTAGCAGCCTTTCCTTCATTATTCTGTGCTTATGCTTTAAAGTGGATGCTAATTCAGCATCTGCGGGGGCTGTAATACTCCCCTTATTCATCACTGGACCATACTGTGTACAACTCAGTAACTGAATGCATGAAATAGTCTGCTACATGGCTGAATAAGCCCGCGGTTGCTTGTTTGACACACCAGTATCTGCAGCCTGTTGTTTCTAATTGTTCCACATTTCTTCCGTCTTCCCAGTGCCGGCTGGTATCATAGTGATACTGTAACTTTGCCGACTCCAATTTTCGGGATCTTTTTTTTTTTACTATATTTTGACTGAATTAGGGCTGCAAATCATCAATTTGGGTTTTAGGTTGAGTAACTGTGTGATATTTCTGAAATCGCTTAAAAACATTAATGATATTAATTGTATTCATACTTTTTTTTAAAACTCTACTTAAATATAGAAAATCTGCAGTTATATATGGCAAAGAAAAGCAGGCTGGAGTCAGGAAACATTTAAAGTACACATCAGTGAATCTGTCCATTGTTCCAGCTTTTGACTGAACTGATAGTGTCTTCTCAGCTTTGTAGAAAACTGATGTCTTTCTGGAAGAAGTGTAAACTCAGATATGCTACTTGGAATTTCTTGAACCTTGAATTGCCTATCGTTTAAATGTCCCGACTTTTCACTTCATTCTGGTGTTAGTTGTGCACGTTGGGCAGCCTCCTCATGTCCGTGCCTTGTCCTGAGCAGTTGTCAGGCTCACAGACATGTACAGATATTTGTTAGACAACACTACATGAAGCTTCCTGAAACAGCATTACCCAGATTAATATAATCCTGCATCCACCAAAAGGACTTGTTGATGTGTTTCAGTGATATAAACCATGATACTATGCCTTTATGTTTTCTAACTCTGTGTACAGTTTTGTTGTATTTTATGCATTCCATTTGTCTTCATTATATTTTAGTTCAGTCTTTTTCTGATTCTTTCATTGAATGCTGTTGATGTGAATTAGAGTTTTTGTTTTGTTTTTTAGCTAATTTTTCTCTTTCTCATAATTCAAGAGCAACTTCTCATTGAGGTGTCAAAGGTGCAATACGTTGTTTTTGTTTGTTTGTTTAAAGTGACCACAGCCATCACTGTCTCATGTTTACCACTGGTTCATCTTTTATAACTTATATAAGTTTTAAAAAATTTTTTTATAATTGTGACTTGACTTGCTGTAAGTTGGATCTCCCCTAGAGGGGGGCGGCGGGTTCTGAACACAATGAATATGTTGCATATTGCAGCATCAGGCTTGGAAGTGATAGATCTTACCGAATGCATTTGTCTTTTAGCCAGTTTAATCATGCTTTTTTTGCTTTTCTTTTTTTCCATAAGAAATGCTGATGCCAGTCACACCAAACAACCCTCGTCTAATGTGATAGTAAAAATGACACCACAAACATCCAACTTGTATTTTTATATTCTTTTGTAGCCTTGGTTTATGTGACACTGAATGATAAAATGATCTGTTTTTATCATAAAGTGCCATGAAAAAAATAAACACAAAAGATTGAAGTGAGTGTGTGAAAGGTGTGTTTCTTCTCAAGTGCCTGCAGCTTTTCGGGTGCACACGGTTCCCACTGTTACTTTGTCTTAGAGAGAAGACAATGTAACAACTCCTGCAGGTTTTACACACAGCCCTCCAGCTGTGACCACATACTGTCACTGCAGCTCACCATTCATTAAACCTGCCCTGCGTTAAGCTAAAGCCAGTGGAGCAGTTTAAATACATTTATTTAAGTGCTGTTACTCGTGTTCTAATCATTTCTTCTGCTTTAAAATAATAAAAATACCTGGCAGCTGTGTTTAGATCTTTTTGAGGCTATATGCAGAACTAAAAGTACCAGACAGTAATTCTTGTCTGATTATGCATGAATGCAGACTAGCATGTGCATACTCTTCCAGCACTTTGCAGTTAAGTTCAAATCTATAGCAAATAATTTAATCAGTCAGTCCCACACTGTAACCACTGGTGGGGTAGTAAAGGAGCATCACTAATCAGCGTGCTGATGAACAAGTTAAGCCTCTCTTCTGCTCCTGCCGTCCACCTCCGCAGCTCCAACAGTGCTTTCTATGCTGTGTGGCATTTTGACATACAGTGGGGCAAAAAAGTATTTAGTCAGCCACCAATTGTGCAAGTTCCCCCACTTAAAATGATGACAGAGGTCAGTAATTTGCACCAGAGGTACACTTCAACTGTGAGAGACAGAATGTGAAAAAAAAAATCCATGAATTCACATGGTAGGATTTGTAAAGAATTTATTCGTAAATCTAGGGTGGAAAATAAGTATTTGGTCACCTCAAACAAGGAAAATCTCTGGCTCTCACAGACCTGTAATGTCTTCTGTAAGAAGCTTTTCTGTCCCCCACTCGTTACCTGTATGAATGGCACCTGTTTGAACTCATCATCTGTATAAAAGACACCTGTCCACAGCCTCAAACAGTCAGACTCCAAACTCCGCCATGGCCAAGACCAAAGAGCTTTCGAAGGACACCAGGAAAAGTATTGTAGACCTGCACCAGACTGGGAAGAGTGAATCTACAATAGGCAAGCAGCTTGGTGTGAAAAAATCAACTGTGGGAGCAATCATCAGAAAATGGAAGACATACAAGACCACTGATAATCTCCCTCGATCTGGGGCTCCACGCAAGATCTCATCCCGTGGGGTCAAAATGATCATGAGAACGGTGAGCAAAGATCCCAGAACCACACGGGGGGACCTGGTGAATGACCTGCAGAGAGCTGGGACCAAAGTAACAAAGGTCACCATCAGTAACACACTACAACGGCAGGGAATCAAATCCCGCAGTGCCAGACGTGTTCCGCTGCTGAAGCCAGTGCATGTCCAGGCCCGTCTGAAGTTTGCCAGAGAGCACATGGATGATACAGCAGAGGATTGGGAGAATGTCATGTGGTCAGATGAAACCAAAGTAGAACTTTTTGGTATAAACTCAACTCGTCGTGTTTGGAGGAAGAAGAATACTGAGTTGCATCCCAAGAACACCATACCTACTGTGAAGCATGGGGGTGGAAACATCATGCTATGGGGCTGTTTTTCTGCCAAGGGGACAGGACGACTGATCCGTGTTAAGGACAGAATGAATGGGGCCATGTATCGTGAGATTTTGAGCCAAAACCTCCTTCCATCAGTGAGAACTTTGAAGATGAAACGAGGCTGGGTCTTCCAACATGACAATGATCCAAAACACACCGCCCGGGCAACAAAGGAGTGGCTCCGTAAGAAGCATTTGAAAGTCCTGGAGTGGCCTAGCCAGTCTCCAGACCTCAACCCCATAGAAAATCTGTGGCGGGAGTTGAAAGTCCGTGTTGCTCGGCGACAGCCCCAAAACATCACTGCTCTCGAGAAGATCTGCATGGAGGAATGGGCCAAAATACCAGCTACTGTGTGTGCAAACCTGGTAAAGACCTATAGTAAACGTTTGACCTCTGTTATTGCCAACAAAGGTTATGTTACAAAGTATTGAGTTGTATTTTTGTTATTGACCAAATACTTATTTTCCACCCTGATTTACGAATAAATTCTTTACAAATCCTACCATGTGGATTCATGGATTTTTTTTTCACATTCTGTCTCTCACAGTTGAAGTGTACCTCTGGTGCAAATTACTGACCTCTGTCATCATTTTAGGTGGGGGAACTTGCACAATCGGTGGCTGACTAAATACTTTTTTGCCCCACTGTATAGAAACCTATTCAGTGATGGGGCTCTCTCTGACAAACAAGACATTATCCTGTTGTATAATGCTTGCAAACCGACCACCCTCCTCATGTCGCACACACAATAGTGAACTCTTAGAGACCGCTGAGCCTTAGCTTTGTTCCCTGCAGCACAGTGGCATATTTATCTTACTGTGGAACTGAGAAAATCTGGAACGTTGTTGTTTAATCATGTTTGCTTGCAAATATTTAAAAAAATTTCAGTTACAGAATCCTAAAGAACCAACAAACAAATAAACATGATACCACTGTGAGGAATTTTCCAGATCTTCAGTCTTCAGGGCTCATCTGTAGAGGTGTGGGTGAGGGGAGGGGGAGGGTGGTGCTCCAGGCGTCAGTTTGTTAATGGATCATTTTCCTGTAGGCTTTTGTATGCAGAGCTACAGAAGAAAGCTCCCGGCTTCCTTTGAATGTGTCCTCAGGAGAAAAGGAGAAAAAGGGTTGGGTGAGGAGGGGGATGCAGAGAAAGCTGCTCACCTCATGTCACAATGCAACATTTAATCAGTGTTATTGAAGGGCTTCTACTGTAATTACATCTAACACATGGCTAGAAATGTTTTGTTTATAAAGGTTAATTTGGGTGCTACTTATTTAATACAATGGATATTTTTGTCTTGGTACAGCAGGGGAGTGCTATATATAGTTTAAAATATCTAGTGCTTACTTTAGTGGGTTCATTGTCTGATTAATACAGTAAGGATCCATTGGACAGTTTTATATAATGTCATGTAAATTTGTAATAACTGTGTATATAAGTTGACTTGACAGTAAACAGCATGGTCGATCATGTATCATGTATTTCCCCCTGTATCATTATTTTATTTCATTTTATTTTATCCAACCTCACTTAAAAACACTGATTCAGAAGCACAGGTGTTCTGTCAAATACACCTCCCACCCCCTCTCCACATAAGTACACATGACAAGAAAAACCCCCACATGTTTGATGTCATGCTCAATAAAAAAGCCCAGCTACATGATAGGAACCTTATGATATGACATCATATGCGGGATTTTAACCACACACTAGCTTAAAACTTGACAGATTATAGATGGTGATTACAGAGGTTCTGTTTTTTCTCTTTCATGATGAAATGTACCACTGATATAGAAGTGCATTAGAAGTATATATGCATAAATACGTCTTATACATTTGCCACTGTCCAAGTGAGCACAGCCCAGTCTTATAAGACTGATAAGTTTTTTTCAACTATATTTACTTTCCTTTGTGTGTTTTTTTTCTTTTGCATTATTAAGGCAAATAATTCCCATAGTGTTTCGAAACAGACTGAAATCTTTTTTCTCTTGCAAAGATTGAAATCTTTTTTACTCTACGCCGAGAAATTGATTTAAAAGCCAAACTCTTGTTTTTAGGAAGAAATAGGGCACCTCCTAGTGGTGAGATTAGAGAAACGCACCTGTAGCCTGGAGTGTCGAGCACAAAAGTCATATTAAAACCAACAGCCACAAAACCACATGCTGAGGGTGAATCGGACGGACTAGACGTGCAATAACCGAACAATCGGGATTTTTCTCACTACTAAACTGTGCTGTTTCAGTCTTTCCTCTCCCTAGAGGTTTTAGAATTGGACTCGGTCCTTTATCTATGACTAAAAAAATCTGTTATTTTGGAAAACATAATGTACAAGGTCTATAATTTCAAGGCAGAACTGGAAGAGGAGATGTAGCATCAGTTACCTCTCATCATCCCACTAAAACCTAATGGGATGGGGAGAAGCACAGATGTAAATACTTAATGTCCCACGTCAATGGTTAATTAATAGTTTTGATGAATCAAAACACCACAAACTACAAAAAAGATTAAAGATCCACCTGAAGCAATCTTTACTAGCAGGTTTATTTTGCACAGATGTGTATGGGGTTGTATTTATGAAATCTGTCCCTCCTCGGGTTTTCATGTATCAAATGTGCACAGAAATATATTTTCCCATTTGTTAAACTGGCATTGAATTTGCTTTGAATTTGCTTTTCTGCTTAACTGAGTTTATTACAGTATAAAATAAAGAGAGTAAAAGAGAAGTTGACTTTGAGTTCAAGAATCATTTCGACACAAAAAGGAAGTGATGAAAATGACAGGAAACTTTGCACTTTAAAAACTGATGCTGCAGAAGTTCTTCCGCGGTTTATCTTGTTCATCAGCGCATCAGCTCTGTGGTATCACCGTCAAGTTTCAGGGAAAATATGAAGATAATAAAAGACACAGGAAGTTATTAAAATTATTGTACCGCTTGTTTATGCCTTTGTTAAGGTGTACTGTGGCTTTCAGCCTGACGATTCATATCATAAGCTAAACGAAGTGCTTTATGTGTTAATGCATAAAAAAAGATAACATGTTTTGAAAGGAAGGGAAACTGAAAAAGCATCAGATGCACAGACTGTGGTGTAATATGAGCAAAAGACTCATTTTCCTCTCTCTGTCAGCAGATGTGGTTTTACTTCTGTTCTTTGAGACCAGCTGTGGAAGATTGCACTGCGTAAGCGAGTTTCATTCACTGGTAAAGAAAGATGAGAATGGTGATCTTTCACAGGACGCTCTGTAATTACGGAACAAGGTCTCGCAAGTTTGAACAGAGTAAGAGACCAAATAACAACACCTTAAGGTCGCTGTGTGCTTGCAGCGTTAGAATCAAAGGGTAAAGTGTGACTTTAATAGTCGTAATAATAAAGGCCTTTATGTCAGTGTGAGTTCAGCCCGTGCTGTTCTTCACATCACAAGAAGACAGAGGACAGAGCAGTCAAAAAGACTGACTAAAAACTGATCAAGTATTCTGTTAGTTATTCAAATCATAGTTTAATAATCATGAAAAAAATCATTCAGTCTAAACCATGTAAGAGATCACCCTCTGCTTATGATTTCACGTGAATGAGACATACAAGTAAAAAAAAGGCTGTAAAACAACACATAAAGGAAGTGGATGGAAAATATGTTGACTTTCAAAATCAGAGCACAGTGGCAGATCATTAGCACTTTGAAGGTAAAACGGGAGATGTTCATTGGATCAAAAATGAACACTGTTTAAAAATACAGTACATAATGTTGTTTGGCCACTTCTGCTATGTTGGGTTCTAAGTTTCAGACCCGTGAGGCCCAGCGACGCTCTTCCTCGGCCCATTTAACAGGCACTGTCATGCTTCACCTTCTGCAGCCTCTTTTCCATCCAAGCGTGTTGAGTCTCGCGGTGTTAGATCCTCTTGTTGATTCTTTTGAAGGTTACACCCTTCTCTCCTGGAGTTACGCAAGTCTGCATACGCAAAAAAGGAAAAAAAAGAGGATTAAAGATAATCTGGTATTAAAAGAGCAAATGGATTTATCTAAGGGATTATTAATCTCATTCAAAAAGTGCAGTGAATAAGTGGCTTCTTCTCCTACC